TGCAGCAGGGGTGCCCCAGCCCTCAGACCGGGGGCCTCCAGGGGCCGAAGCTCAGAGGGGTGCAGTGGTGTGGGTGGAGTGGGTGGGCAGTATGCTGATGTTGATGTTGTTGATGATGATGATGATGGCGGTAGTGGTGATGATGATGGTGGAAGATGAGGAGGAAGAAGAGGAAGAGGAGGAGGAGAGGAGCCAGCCCCCTGTTTGTTATGAATAGTGGCCCCCGTGGCCCCTGGCCGAAGCGTGCTGCAGTAGTTGTTGGAGTAGAGCCCTGAGGAGCACAGGAAACGAGTCTCACCCACCCACTCACGTACAACTGCAACTCTGCAAGCAGCTGGCCACCAGAACACAACGGGAGAGAGTGGGCAGGGGGGCACACAGAGGCTGCCAGTGCTACACTATCAAACACTATGGAGAGGGGGAGGAAGAAAAACTCTGAAGTTTCACTTTCCACCAGCCAAGGGGAAAGGGTTAGGGCTTCTCTTCTCTCTTTCTCTCTCTTTTTTTTTCTTTCGCTCCTCTGCTCTCCTTCTCCTTCCACCCACATGCGTGCGCAGAGGATGGCAGCGGGTGTGTGTTTTGTGAGTGTGTATGTGCCATGTTGTGTGAGTAAAATGCATATAAGGAGAGGGCTTGAGGATCCTCTGTAGCGTGGAAGGAGATTGTTTTGGAGAGGAGCCATCTTGCAGCTCAAGTGAAGATTTTTTTTTGTGTGCACGCAGGGTAAAGGACGACTACATCGACCATGTAAGATGTTTACCAGCAACAAGTTAAGACACGCTGGATAAAATTTCAATTTTTTTTCACAGAACCTTTAGCTTTCCACAACTATTCACACAGAGCCTTTTTTCTGCTACATTAATATCACCATTAGCTGGTACTGAGAGCGCATTTCTTTTTTTCTCTCTTTCTTCGCTTTGATTAATAGTGTGTATTAATCAAAGCATAATGTATCGCAAGATTCTCTAGACAGTGCGTGTACGCATGCAAGCGTGTGCAAATGTGGGCAGCATTTTGGGGAATGTCTCCAGAGTTATGCAGTGGGTTAGCCATTCATTGCCCTCCTCTGCACAACGGACAGAATCACACAACCATGAGGCTCGGCCGTGGATGGATTCCTGGAATGTTAAACTACCGCACCCGACACTCCCCACTCCCACTCACTGAGAACACACACAAATGCTTAACTCCCCATCTCTTCTTCCCCACCCCATCAGTGACAGGGGAAACAGCATTAACAGCGAAGAGGAAGTAGAGACCGAGAGTAAACGGATGAGATACAGGTGAAAGGGAGTAGCTCATTAACAAATGGTGTTCTGGCAGTAGACGGTTCTCAGGAAAGGGCTTTCACGGAATAGTTAATCAGTTTTGGTTCAAGCCTCTTGCAGAAATGCAACATGTAACTGAATATATTACAGTGTCGTATCACTGAGTTTAATATTTCAGTTGTGTCTGGCAAGCTTTAAAGTATGCAAATAGCAGTCAGCTGACTGCCTGCACAGCGGCAAGAAAAAAGAAAGACAAGAAAAAAGTAAAATAATTGCATTACTTAAACATGGCTCAATAGGAACTAACATACAATCGTCATCCCTTTCTTTCACCTGCCATCCCAATGGAGTCTGTACTTATTACATCTGTTTAGGCTTTAGGGAAGCAATTACTGGAAGGTGACTGACCAAGGTTACTAATTAACTAAAAAGCTCTGTAAGTTTGTTAGGCGAAAATAGCAAGATTGGATTGGATTTTACCTCTCTGTAACCTCACGGAAAAATGCTTAATGACACATGGCTAGTCATAACCTTTGGACAGTGTTGTTTACTTTTTATTATTTGAAAAAATATATGAACAAAAGACCATGCAGGTTCGGGTTCATGGCAGCTTTGTGCACATCCGCGTATTAGATTCCTCCACTTGCAGGTAAGAACTGTTGAATCCAAAAAAGTTGATATATAAAGTAGACTCAATTTGAAAATCCAAGTCTGGATTAGATTCATTTCCATCACTGTTCTTCCTTTACAGTTGCAGTACCAAAAAAAAGAGAGAGAGAGCCAGAAGACAAGCTATATAAGATCCATTTGTTAAATTTGGAACAAAATTTGTGTCACAATCATAAATACATTTTGAAAATCTCTTGGCAGTAGCTGTGGAATGAATGGTAGCTAGTGCACAGAGGTGAGTCAATTTTTAAAAGTAGATGTGAATTGATGAGAGCTGGCAATGGAGGGAAAAGTTCAATAATGTCAGTATAATCTCTATAGTTAATTGGATGTTCCTAACATCCTGTACATGGTGGCAGTGTGGGCAGGTGTGCAGGGATGGTTTTGCAAAATCCATTGTCTGGAATTGACTCTCTGACGCACAGAGGGGTAGTGGGGCCAAATCCCATTGATCTTAATTGGATTTTGGAGGTTGATTGACATACACACTGATTCCACTGTATTTTGGCATGTGGTCCGTGACCCATGCAAAGGATAGCAAAAAGAGAAGCTGTGCATTTTAATTCCATGTCCTGTCAACAAGATGGGGGTCGAATCAGTTTGACTTGCTACATACAGAGAGAGATATTTCCAGTATGATCTTATTTTTGGATGCGTGGATGTTTAGCAGAAACCCGGTTTATTAAATCGTCAGTTATGTCGGGGGGAAAAAAAGAATGAGAGAAAGAGGAACAAGATGAAAGGGTGTGGGAGGTGGTAGCTCTATGTCAAGGCCTTTTGCTTATATTCAAGCCTCTCTGGAATTGGGACAGGTGACCTTGCTCTGCCTCCTCCGCGCCTAGATCAATACTTTCCCACTATTTTAGACCAACATGCTTTGATGCTCCACAGCTGAAGTAAAAGAGGGGGGGAAGAGACAAGAGTGAGACAAATATGGAGGAACTGCAAGAGCTGGCCAAAAGGGGAGGGAGTGAAGGAGAGTGTGAGGGATGAGTGTTAAGGAGGGGTGAAGGAGAAATAGATGGAGGAAAGGAGGGACGGATGGCGTGAGGGGGAGTACAGGAGGGGAAAAGGACAGGAAGGATGTTAAGATGGGTTGAAGGAGAAGCGGGAGGAGAACAAGAGGAGGGGAGGGGAAAGGGCTGAATGGAAGGAGGGAGGCAGGGAGCAGTGATCTGTCAAACCAGGCAGACTTATCCTCCGCCCAGTAATCTGAGGTACAGTGTTTGTTTATTTTCTGTCCTCATTTAGACACAGGGACAGACCTGGGGAGGGAGGGGAGGATGTTGGCCATCTCGACAGGCCCATTTCCCCAACCCCTATTGTGTAGGGAATAGAAAATAGGGTTTGGCTAACCAAAACCCTCCCTGAGGTTTCTTTGGTGACAACTAAAATACAGATATAGTGCTCATTCAATGTGTTTTTTTTTCCATGCACAGAGCAAATGATTAACATTCTCTGAATTCTCCAAATCCCCTATTCATATAGTCAAGGCTGAGTGTATCTGTAAAGTCTGAGTGTGTATCAGAAAGCCTCTTCTTCTCTTTTCTGAGGCTTGTGAGGCTGTCTATCTGTGCTGTGACAGCATCCGATTCTCCTCTTTAAGCCAACAGAAACATCTCAATCCCACACACTTAACACTGACACAAAAGGAACGATGTGATGTGGCGTGCATGTGCGAGCGCGTGCAACTGCGAATGTGTGTTTTGGTCCATTAAGTCTTGGCCCTGTCTTTTATTTTGTAGGTGAGTGGGGCTCAACTGAAAAGACATGACTAGGCTCAGAGTTGTACCCTTCCTTTGCTTTTCTTCCGCTCACAAAAACAGGCAGAACTCGGGACAAAAGATCCAATTACTAGACTGTAAAAGCTAAAGAAACAAACACACGAGTTGAATACACACATGCGTGCGCACACAAATGTGCCCACGCGGACGTGGACTCAAGCAAATGCATGCTCACACTGGGACACACACACACACACACACACACACACACACACACACACACACACACACACACACACACACACACACAGACAGACACAGTTTAACACCCTCATTGAAGGCAGAAAAAACTGACAGAACAAAGAAAAAAAAAATCTCTTGTTAACAGACAAATTAAGCACCAATGCGGCCGCTTATTGATCTATTATTGATATGATTAGGAAATGATTTATTACAGTGTAACAGGAAAAATTCTGTGATTTAAGAGCTTATTTTACTAATTTTAGCTGAGCATATCAGATTTTAAAGAGAAGAATAATTATTGGTTGCTCGGTCGTGCACAGATATATAACAAGAAGCAAAGATTTGTAGCGAACAAATAGGTGAAGATCACCTTTTTATTGCTTGCTGTAATTGTGTTCTTTGTTTATGACATTTGGTGAGTTTGGATGTATTTGTTAATTTTGAAAGACCTTCTAACAGCTTGCAGAGATTTATATATTGTAGTTGGAGCAATTCGGTAAGTAAATATCTGAACAGTTGCTGCTGCACTGTTGTGTTATTTTGCTGCGGTGAAATACAGCCGTAGACCCACTGATACCCACAAAGAAACTGTCACATAAAACCAAACAAATTTTCTCGAGACAGCACGAGCGATCCCAGCAAAATGTTCTCTCACTGAGTCACTGCTGACTAGTCATCACTGGCATTACCACACAAACTGGTTACACACTCAAGTGGCACCACACACGCACACACACACACACACACACACACACACACACACACACACACACACACAC